ATTCCACAAAGCACACATGTCGACCATGACATGTGTCCTCATAGAATCTTATTATACTACTAGTGGCAAAACACCGTGCTTTACATGGACCAAATATTTATTTATGAAGTTATTTTTCAATCTTAAGCATTTTAATTATATAATTTTAGATTTTTAAAAATCTAAATAAGTTATATATAAATAGTATAACATTGTAAATTTTAAGTGGTGTTGATTAAATTAATTTAAAACTTTTAATCTAAAATGTTATTTATATTTGTGTGGTAGTAACTCTTTTGTAAATAAGATCTATAGATGTAATTGTTCGTAGTAAATGATCTCATTAAGGGTAAAACAAATACATACAAATATTATCAATATTGTAAATTTTAAATAGTGTTAATTTAAAAAATTTGGTGTGAGGCCAAGAATCTGAAATAACTCCTAATTTGGTGAGAGTTATTTGGAGATACTCCCTCCGTTCCTTTTTACTTGTCAATTTTTGACTTGACATGCCTATTAAGAAAAACAATGATTGATATAGTGAATTTATCATTTTTACCCCTTTTAATTGATAGAATCTTAAATATATTTACTCAATAATTTTTTCAAAGACATTAACTCAATTTTATAAATTGAGGGTATAATAGGGAGAAATTTTATATTTAACTATGAAATTATTATACTTCATTTGTTACATGTAATCATAAACAAGCGTAACCAAAGATTATTATATTTAGCTATGAAATTTTTTTCATGACAAATAGTTAAATTATTTAGCAATAAATTTTAAATCATCGTTATTTAAACATTGCATAGTTGATGACAAAACTATTTTGTCACTACATCGCACATTGATTATAGACAATAAAATTATCATCACTGATTGCTTATGGTATTAGTGACAAAAACTAAGGTCATAATTAAATATAAAAATTTGTGGCTAAAGCTTACAATATTTAATGACGAACTCTAATTTGTCTCTATTTCAACAAAAAAAATTATGACAACGCCTTTTTGTGTCCAAAATTGTAACTAATTTTAAGACAAATAATAATTTGTCACAAATTGGATACATTATTAGTGACAAAATAATGAGTCACTGATAAATTAAAATTTGTCGCTAATGGTATTTAATAAATGGCGCCAAATTATATTTTGGTGGGAAACTCTACTGGACAAAAAATTTCTACGAAATTTTATGTTTCATCATTAAAATAATGTGTTTCATACATTTTAATACGAAATGTAATTTTTATCACAAAAAGTGAATAATTGGTGACGAATTATATGTCGTACCTAATAATTTCGTAGCTAAATATCATGTTTGTTGTAGTGTACTTAATGTGATTAAATGGTTTTCTTAATGAATGCGTCCTAACTTTAAATGAAAAATAAGTTTAGATATCTAACCATTTTAAATGAGTTGGATTGAATGGATAGCAATTTTTATAACCATTTTGACAACCCTAGTTTGATCCATTCTCATCTGAATTTTCCCATTCTTGAACCAGAAAAGTAGAATGTACAAATTGTTGGAGTACTCAATGGACATATTTTTCCGATAAAAAAGATCAACCTATCATATAACTATGGTTACAATAACTTCAAAACTACAATAGGAGACTGCACATACAAATCCAAGATCATAGAATGAGCAAACTGATATTTAAATAGAACAAGACTACAGAAGATGGACAGGTTCTACAGATTTCTATGAAAGTAAAAGATTACAACTTGATAATAAACAATACAACAAACTAGACTCAAGAACTAGAAAATATAAGCCTACGGAGCAGGTTCTTCAATCTTGTTTCTCTGTATCAGCTGCACTTGAATCCTCAATCAGAACTCGCTCAAATATTGACTCTCTCGTACTTGGTTGTGTTCTGTTTGTAGTTCTCTGTGTAAATGAGTAAGGTTCTTTGTGAAATCCTTAGTGTATTTGTACATGTGAGACTTCTCCTTCTTTGAGTCGGAGTCCAAGTACTTCCTTATATGACTTTCCTTTCCTTATAGACTTCTATTATAAAAGGAACCTTTATGCAAACAAGTCTTTTGTCATAAACACGCTTCATCCACCGCCTTTAATTCCTTTTGTTCACATGATGCCTCTTCTCTTAATCTCATTCGGACTCTGTATGATTGGAACATTGTTTGTGACAACAAGGGGAATCTTATATGCACGCATCAGTGATTCAGGAAGGAACCAAAATAAAAGCTTAGGCCACTGCAATCAAGAGGCCATAACTTACCGTGAAGCCTTAAACATAGAGCATATATGTGTGGAGACTGACTCATTGGTTATTGTTAGAATTTTGGATGGCACATGACCAGTGGCGGACCCAGGATTTTCGTTTAGGAGATTCGAAAAATAAAAGTATAAACGTGTAAATAAGCCAACAAAAAAAATTTCAAAGAAGTAGTAGTATATAGTTTATAGGTACAAAAAGTTAGTTTCGTTATAAGAAATCTGAAACTAACATAAGTGATTACAGTGAAACAAAAAGTTAGCCCTTTAAAATATGTCAAATCAACAAGAAATCCGAAACTAACATAAGTGATTACAGTGAAACAAAAAGTTAGCCCTTTAAAATATGTCAAATCAACAATAGAATATTATGGGAGATGATTTTAATATTTGAGTGTTGGGGAAGAACAAGAAAGTGATTTAGAGATTTGGAAAGTGAAAAAGTTATTAGCTTTTAGGAATGGGAGTATGGGACCCTTGAATTTTTTGGGTTTAACACCACATTTTAGCACTTTTTATTTAAAAAAAACTAAAAAAAACATGAAAATCGGAACTGAAACTAAAAAAAATAAGATAAACTGAAAGTAAAAAACTAAAAAATAAAACGCTAACCCAGGGATTCAATCCCTGGACGTCAGGCTTAATATTGAAGGGATCTGCCACTGGGCTATCTCCTTCACCTTTTCATTGATGGGGTTCAAAATATATATATCCACCTAAATCCAGAAAATTCACCTTATATATACAGTATAATTTTTTATCGTGAACCCCCTGGACAACACGTGGGTCCGCCCCTGCACATGACATATACCATGGTACATCAGAGTCATATATAGTGGAGGATACAAGAAACTTTATGCAGCAATGTCAGGTAAAAGTAGTATATACATATAGGGAGGTGAATCAGTTAGCGGATTACTTGGAATATTAAGCGCTAGACAACACACAAGTACGTAGTACATACATAAAAGGAGGGAATCAATTAACTGATTACTTGGCAAATTTAGCCCTAGATAGCATATAAGTGTACATACATACAAGGAGGAGAATCAATTAGAGGACTACTTGAAAAATTTGACACTAGAAAATACATGCATAATTGAAAAGGAAGAATATGAAAAGAATACTAGAAGAAACTCACTGAAAGGAAAGGGCGATGAAAGTAGTCACTGTAGAGGGAAAAGCCAGATCATAAGTCTCAGAAACTCACCGTTGCCAGCTAGGACATTCTTAGCTTGCAAACCTCAGCTTAGAGATTTAAAAAACATAGGCCAATATAGTAAAGGACCTGTGAGAAATCATTGGAATACATATGAGAAAGAGTTGAACCTGTGACAACACCAATGCCTTTAATTTAATAATTAAATGAATATGATGTGGATATATTATATTATATCATCAACGAAACGCCAATATAGTAAAGGACGCCATTACTCATAGTATATCATATTTGGGAGCTAAGAAGCGGGACATGACCCGAGATATCCATCAGTTAGCTTGTTTGGAGGGTTAGATTATTAGACTCTGATGATGAAGAGTTCATATATAGTTTAGGTTACAACCGTTTCATCTCAAGTTGAGGAGGTGAAAGTATGAAAACACATGCAAGGATCCCAAATTAGAGTATCTCAAAGGCAAGGCTCAATAACAGGAGTCTTTAGCCTTTGATATAACAAGACATATATAGAGTCATTAGATACAAACGCCACTTGTGTATTGTTCCAGATATTGTTGGGTTTTGATGGAAGATTATGATCAAGGCACACCATTCTCACTACTCTATTCACCTAGGATCCACAATGATGTATCATGATATTAAGGAGATTTATTGGTGGCTAGGAATTAAGAGGAACATGGTTGAGTTTGTAATGAAGTGGCCTAATTTTCAGTACGTAAATTTAGAGAACCAGAAGCTCAATGGGCTGAATCATGAGTAGTTACCAACTTCATTGTAAAAGTGGGAGGCGATAATTATGGATTTTTCATAGGTTTGCCTCTCTCGCGATGGAAGTAATTAAGATTCTATTTAGGTGATTATTGATAGGAAGACAAAATCAACATATTTCTTGGCAATCCTGGTCATATCTCAGCCAAAGATTATACTAGGATGTACATTAGGGAGTTAATCAAACTACAAGGTGTCCTTCAGATTTCTTGTTCTTGTAAGTGCATTTCTTTTGGACATTCCATGAACCTGTTGATGAGACTTACATCGTGCATAGCATCAGATCTTGTTTACCAACTAATCCATCCCTTCTTCCCAATCTCACTTTCCATGTTGGTCCTCCACTCTATATATAAATAAAAACATAATAATATTATTTGTTCGACTTCGACTTTGACCTTGACTTAAAGTTTTAAAAAATAACTAAATAAGACTTTTGAATTTTGTATAGTGATACTTAGAAAGTCTCAGGTGAAAAGTTGAAACTAAAAAGTTTTTTTTAAAAAAATAATAAAGAGAAAGAAATTGAAACGGAAGGAATAAATAGAAGGGAACATACTAATAGGACAGAATCTCCAGCAGCAATAGCAAGTATATCAGCGCAAGAAACAACTCCACTGCATTCATCTTCAACAGCTTTCTTAATATTGTCTATCACTTCAAATCCTCTAGCAGAATTTATGTTCCCTGCTGCAAACTTTTCACTTGTGGTGATATTACCATCCAACAACAATGATCCATCACACCCCTACGTAATGTAATGATCAATTGAATATCCTTTGTCAAAAAATTATATCGTATATATAGAAAGTTATACGAAATATATATTGGTCACAATTGAAGTTATGATAGTTATCAAATTAAGCATGGCTTTCTAGCAGAAATTAAAGTATGAAAAATCACAAATTAAATGAATATATATTCAATAATGGACTAGGGAATTGAAATGTCAAAACAGAGGATAATAAGGTCAGCAAGATTTACCATATTAATTATTTCATCTGTCCTACTTTATGTGACACACTTTTTCTTTAGTCTGTTCCAAAAGAATGTATACTTTCTATAACAAAAGATAGTTTAACTTTAAATGAAATATTTTACAGCCACACAAATCATGTCTAAAGTTTGTTTTAGACAATAAAATTTAAGAATCTTTCTTTTTTCTTAAACTTTATACAAAATCAAACGGTGTCACATAAGTAAATCATAAGCTCATAAAAGAGCTAGCTAGGGGCCTTAAAAACTCACATTAACAAAGCAATCGTGAAAATGAAGACGAAGCAATGAAGCTGCCATTCTCATCTTGATAGCATTTTGAACTTCTTTACGAACAACTTTGAGAACATTTGGACATGTTTTTGCATAAAAATCACTTGTTAATTGTGAATTTACGACTACAAACATAATCATGAAAGTTACAAAAAGAGAATAATACAAAGTAAAATTGCATGACTTCCTCATGGTTTCAAAAGTAAAATATATATATTTAGCTAGAAATGTTTATTCAAATTTAAGTTGATAAGAATGTATAGTAAGCCAACCCTAATTTATAATAGTGTTTAAGAGGGCATTTGAGGTACATAATATAATATAATATAATATAATATAAACTTATATGAACTAATTAGTGGTGTGATGTATGGCGGCTCCATTTTAGCTATACTTGTTGACTTTATAGTGGACGTGAGTGCATGCAACGCAATTTGAACTATTTAAACTAAGGTGCTATTCTATTTTATTTTTACATTTTTAGTGCAATGGATGGATTTACAATAGAATATGCGGGTTGTCAGAAATTCAGTAACTTTTTCTCGATCTTTATAATTATATTGAAAAGTCTATCAAATATATAATATCTTAAGTTGGGAACTAGTAACAAGTATAGATGACTGGTTCAATGGTAAAGAAGAGCTTAATGTAGAGAGTCTCTGCGCCAGTACTGACGGGAGATTGAACCCTTATATGTGTAACTTTTACTTCTTAAACTCATTTTTTAGTTTTCTAAAATACCTTTTGAAACTTAAAGTTCTATATCTGCCTCTGCATTATAACAAGTTAGCCACTGTTTTCATCATATTATTTATTGGATATCAGAGCCATTTTTTTAAACTATCCAATAACATATCCATATTTCACTTAGGGATTCAAAATATGAAAAAATAGATCATATATTAAAAAGATAACATGTTTTTATATTTTTTAAAATGATCCTATTAGAGATGATAATAGGTGGGTGCGAGGCTGATTGAGCTTAACCCGCAAAACCTTTATAACCCACCCCGCTCTGTCCTGCATCACAATTTTTTTCACTTTCAACCAACCCCACCCTGCTCTGCATGAACCCGCCCTACATAATTTTTTAATATTTTCTTTTTAATTAAGTTTGATACTAAAAATAAAATTCATAAAAATAAATTCATTTCTTATTAAGTTGTATTAATTTAGTAGATAATTACTCAAAAATTTATTTTATGGAGGTCAATTGGGAAGAATGTAAGAAACCATATTAGTTTGGATTCAACCATTTTCATTTACTATCTCGAATGTTTTAGTAACTTAGATAAAAATTAATAAATAATAAATAATGTTGTATCACTCTTATAACATGTAAAAAATTGAAATTAAGTTTGAACTCGCACAAAATCGCATAGGCCCACAACCCGTCCACATTAGTTTTTAAAAAACTCACTTACACGCCCCGCATCCCTCTCCACTCCACGTAACCTTAATTAAACCGCCCCACCCACGTAGCCTTAAACCTGCCTCGCCCCGCCCACATCCACCCCACCCAGGCCCATTGCCCTCCCTAGACCCTTTTTTTTTTTATGTATCTTAAACTCAATTTATAATGGCAACTAACTAAGAGTAGATTAAAAAAATGTAAATTTAAAATCATTTAAGAGCCAAGTGTTGTGATACATGTTGGATGCATGCATCTTAATTAGGGTTTTGTATGAAACATGAAATCTAGAGACTGTATAATGGTAACCAATGTGGAAAGTGAACAAGTGAGCAAGTGAGCAAGTGAAGGTTTTAATATATTACATAGTGAAGCTTTTGCATGCATGTACATGAATTTCAACTGGTTTGAAATAGGGAGAGGCGGATACCAGATATAGATTCACGTGAACTCATAAATTTTTGTTTAAAACCTGCATTTGCATTATATATACATGAATAATTTATTATAAGTCCAATTATTACTAATATACTCACTTGAGATGGCTGCAAGAACGTTTCATAAACTTCAAAATTTAACTCCGCCTCTAATGAACTACTTGATTGAATATTTCTACTCATAGTGGATAATAATAAATATGGCTGTTGTGTTATTAGTGCTTAACTACGATGAGAGCATGAGTATTATGGTTGACCAAAAAATCTTTATCAGTAGGCTTATTGGAGAACTTAGGTCATCTAAAACCATTATCCAAGAACAAAATTGAATAAATTTTGAAAAAATAATGTCAAATTGTTAAGTGAGAAAGTATTGCTCCTTGATTTTATCATCTATACTAGATTAATAATACTTAACAACTTATCCACATGTCAATATTTTTTTTATATTGAAACACAATGAGATTATCCCTAATTAGCAAATTAAATTACCTACCAACTATGTTGCTCACACTCTTCTAAACTGTCAAGTGGTACCTGACTACTTTTGGAGAATTCGAAACGAATGCGGCGTTGAAAGTGAAGAGTTTGCGCAACTTAGCCTACCAGCTAAGAAAATATTAGACCTTGTTTGATTACTCCAATACTTGTATACAACATAGGATAATCAACCAATGTGAGATAATTGGGCTAGTAACCATGGGTGTTGTGACTAGTGATATGAGAGGCCATCAATATATATTTAGAATATAATGTACTTGTTTTAGCTGAGTAATTGATATACCGTGAGTTTACGGTATTTCTAAT